TCATAAGGTATCCATTCTAATGCACTTGATTTTCCACATTTGGTATGATCTGATAGCTGAGTATCTTGAATAAATTTGTCAATATCTTTATTGTCACTGGTCCAATTTATGAAATTTTGTTGAAAACGTATTGCATAACATATGTAATTACATTTTTCACATATATTATTTAATTCTTTATTAATATAAGACGGTTCAATTGGTTTTTTTTTATCCATTGGATTTATATAGTAATTTTATAAAGCATCGATGTATTTGTAATAAAAACCAAGTATAAAAAATTTTTTTTTTTTTTTTTTCAGCCCGAGACGATTAAATGAACAATATTAATGCACAGTCACGTGATAAGCGTAATAGTGTCACTACTATCACGTGACTTATAATATAACTAAACGATCGTTGATTGAATTTCCTTTCTGAAAATTAGTGTAACATTGTGTAACTAATTCGGATAAAATTTCTTTTTTGGAATTGTGTAAAAGTCACGTGATATAAACAAAGTTGACACGGTAGAATTTAGTAATTCAGGCCGGCATTATAGTTTCGATTTTTTTATTCGATAATCGAGTAAAATCGATTCTGATTCAATTCGATTTTGGTAGAATCAACTCCAATCCCTATGCATAATATTTATGTTGATCAATGCTTTTTTAGCAATTTCAATAATTCTGACGTTACTTTAACAAGTTATGGAACATAATAATCGATTCTAATGGATTAGAATGCTTCCAATCCCTATTTCGAATAGTTAATTGATCTACATTTACATATCGGTATTCTTCAAATATTGTTGTATCGAAGGTTGACTACTGTAGATCTCATCTTTCTATTTAAAAAATTCTTTTATGTAATCAATTCAGAGACTTACACTAAATAAGGCTTAGATATTAATTTGAATGGCCAAATGTTATTCTAACCCAACAGGACGCTTAAGTATGCATCAATATATTTGATTCCACTCTATATAATAAAAATAAATTTATAATTTTTATTCAATATAAAATTATTATTTACTCATTATAACATAAGAAGTTCTTAGAATTAATAATAAAAACTTTGATACAAGTATAATACGTATTTCAAAAAAATAGATTTCTACAATGCATTGTAAATAAGTCTAGTAATTTTGCGCCACAGAATAATAAATTAAATACAAAAATATAAATTGGATTTCGAGAAATATACAAACAGGTAATAATAGAGTTTGTGTGGAATGATTTTGCGTCACAGAATTTCACGGGAAATCGCAATCATCGTAATGCCGGCTGACATAAATTTGGCTGGAATTTGCGAATTGTAATGTTGGCTGACCATGTACAAATCACAGAATTAACTTTTATTACTGACAGAACTCGTCCCTAATCTGTCCAAAAATAATGTGTAGATCCTTTAATAATTTGGTTTTTTTTTGTCAGCTCGTGAGCTAAAGTAAATAATTTGAGCCAAATTGCGTACTATTATTGACCCATGTTAACAATATTTAGGAATTTAAGTCTGAAATAACCTAAACTGTGACTAATAATTTTGTTTGAAAAAGTGGATGAACAATATTGCTTAAACAAGATATTTTTGGATGAAAACATTATTTATACAAAATAAACTCGTAATTTAAGTCGCAAACTTTGCTATGAGATTATACTATTTGACAAAGAAAGAGTATCGCGAGTGTACGATTAAGTGGATGATTACAATTCTGATATTGGGAAAAATTAATCGGATTAAAAATATGACATGGATTAACAAACGATCAACATTATTTTTTTAAAATAATTTTTTTTTTAAATTAACTAGATTCTTCAGTCATACTTAACCATAGTTAAGTTTAGCAATTTTTATGCATCATGAAATAATTAACATGACAAAATAATCATTTTAATAAACTTTTCATAGTACTTTTATATATAAACTTTTTTAAACTGTTATTAAAAAAGCTAAACAATAATACGGCTATTGAAATAATCTGCGCCACAAAGTGACACAAAAACTGTATAATTTTTATCAACATTCCGTGCAAAAAAAAAAAATTATTTGTTACACAATTCGGAAAATGCATATTTTAGGTTATTCAGCTGCCTTTTTTACTTATTCTACTAACCTGAATTCATTATAATTTAAAGATTTTAATGGATTTTTACACCAAAGATATTAATCTAATTAAGTCATCATACGTCGATGAGAGTTGTAAAAATGTAATTATACATGTAACGCAATACATTTTTAGAAAAATTTTGAAAATCGGATTATTGGTAATAGTGATAATGATGATGAATTTATTCAAAAAACTCAGCTATTAACTCATTTATATGATGTAAAAGAAGTATTAGACCCTATAAAAAAATTGGATACATTTTTTATAAAGTTTTTATACGATTTTTTTTCCTTAGAAATAACGTATCATAATAGGATACGGAAAAATGCACAATTCCGTATCACTAAAAATATGGTTTGGATACGGAATTTGCACGGGATTTATATGGAATTTACATGATTTGATCACTGATTTTATCACGAAATTTATACGATTTGGTCACTGAATTTACTATTTGTATTACAGTTTACTATAATTGTATTTACATAAATCTAATTTTACTTTGTTTATTTTTTATTTTTTTATTTAATTTAATAAAGTACAAATACATTATGAAAATTCCCTCCTTATTAAAACCACCTATTGCAACCAAAATTATCTATAAGTTCAGATTCATTTGGAGTCAAACAACCTAAAAGAACAAAAAAAAAAAATTGGAAACAAAACCCCCATATAGTATCTGCAATCGTCCAAGTCACCAAAGGTCAGCATTCCTACAAAAAAAGAAAGAGAACTCCAGAATGTCTGACCT